GGTACCAAAATGGGACAAAAAAAAAAAAAAAAATAGGGTTTTTGGGGGAAACCGAAAAAAAAAAAAAAAAAAAAAAAAAAAAAAAAAAAAAGTTGTTCAGGCAAATTCTTCATTACATGATCTTTGTGTGTAACACATGTTCGAGTGTCTACATCATGTTAACTGAAGTAACACCTTCTGATTCCGTTGGTTGCACGCGCACGATTGATAAGGGGAGCCTCCGTCACCCTGTCACACGCATATTGGCGAGGCTGTAGTATTTGTGTTACACATGTGTCCCCTCTTTTAATGTGGGCACGGCGGAAAACGCACAAACTGAGTGGCGATTGCACGTGCGTGTAGGAATGCCCATGTGTACTTGTCCGTCTTGCGCGATTCACTTCCTGCAACGAGGGCCTCCTTCAAGGAAGCACGCACAAGGAGCATCCTCACGGTTGTAAATGAAGCCGCAAGGACACACCCTATAGTCTGTTGAGTTGCTTGCATTAGCTAAGTTGATTATGTTCGCTGAGTTAATTAATTTCGCTGCGTCTGTTCTATCATTTTCGTTTCTTTCCTTTTTAAAATTTCTTTGCAACTTAGTTACATATTTACCACTTGTTCCAAGTCTGACTGATGTCCGCATGAAACTTCACCCTAAACAAAAACCTTTTGCTTCGTGTGATCCCTAGCCAGTTAGCACAAAGAACCACCACTGACCGCATCAAACACAAAAGCGCGAAAGGACAAGTCCAATCATTACACACACACACACAAAAAAAAAAAAAAAAAGCTTTACCCACTCTTCACTCCTGTCTACGATGAAGATAAATCAGATTGTGCAATACATCCTGTTCGCCCTGGTTGCCCATGTGGTGAAGCGAGGTAGGGTCTCTACCCCCTGCAGGCGTTTCTATGTCTTTCGCTACGCCCCGTCCTCCACCATGCTTCCCCCACACACACGCATACATGCACACGCCTCAACCAACCGTGAATTTCGAACCGAAAACATGTTGCCCCTTCCCTTCCCCCTCCTCTGCTTGTCTCACCAACGCAGTCAAGTCAAACATTATAGTTAACTGCTTCGGTACGCTGCACTGCAAAATATGCCACATAGCCATACGGAATTGCTTCTTATCAGGGACCAGCAATTTAACAAAGTGTATCCAATGTGAGGAGAAGTACTACAACATTCAGCCTTGCACTCACCATACAGGTTCGAGAGGAGAATGATTTTTTCTCATTAGCAACGATATTGAATGGAGTATCGGCCCACATGTGGAGTGTTGCGTGAGCACATACTCCCCACACCCCACATCTTGACGCCTCTTTTGAACCGCCCCCAAACAACACGCACCTTTTTTTTTTGCCTTACCCCCTTTTTAGAAAATTTCCTTCAGGCCTCCAGGGATAAGGGAGCCTTCGTGGAGATGAAGGACCATGTAAGGGATCACAACTACAAAAAAAAAAAAAAAAAAAAAAAATTACCAGCGAAGGTAGAACAGTTGGATTGGGAATAATCATTCTTAGTCTACACCCGGCCACACCGAAGAGCGGAAATAAATTCATGCATGTCGCTTCACACTGTTCGCTTCCTGACCCCATAGGACTACCTAACGGAGGATAAAGTAGACGATCTCATTTCTGAGATTGTAAAGTTAACACTGGAGAGACAGAAAAGTGCACAAGCGGAAACAGAATATACGAATGAAGAATTCCAGAAGAAAATCATGCAGCTATGTTTGTACTCTAATTTTAGTGATAACTACGAAAATGCAAAGAAGCACACCCAGGCAAATGCTGAAGAGGTGCAAAAACACATCAACAGAATTGTTCTCATGTACATGAAGGAAAGTAACAACATGGAACATATTATTAATTCGCTAAAGAACCCAGCCTTGTGTCTGAAAGACCCAGCAGAGTGGACGAAGGACCGGGCTGGCTACAAAGACAACGATGTGCCTTCAGTGGGCATCATACCAGAGAGGAAGCTTTTCAGGCCGTATGAGGTGAAGTCGCTCATGAGCTCCCTTTACAGTTACAAGTCTAACTGCAACCGGACGTTCTGCGATAGGTTCTCGGACCCCAATGAGTGTGAGAGTAGCATCCGGGTCCTCAACCAGGGCACATGGTAAGTCGGCAGGGGGTACAAGACATTGCGTGCTGCGATTATGGGGGGTATCTGAAATGACTTCTACGATATGGGGGGTATCTGAAATGACTTTTACGATACGGAAGCTATCTCAACTCACTCCTTTTTTTTGTGCCCCCCCCCCCCCCCCC